CTTACGCTTGGTCGCAGTGGCATGGAATATCCGTATCCTTGGTATCCAACCCAATTGCAGCAGCAAAATATGTCGACCGAGGCGATGCAAGAGCGTCTCGATGAGATTCTGGCGAGCGACGAGTGTGCTATCGAAGCTAACGAAACGTGCAAGGCTGTTCTACTGGAAACGTCCAAGATGATGCTGGCTAACTACACCAACGTGACTTCTGTCACAGATGGTGACGTCGCGAAGCTCGTGACTGAAATCGCCGCTGCTGTTGACGAGACTCGCGATCTGTACTTCGTTCTGATTGAATTGGGTCACATTATTAGTGCGCCTGCCTGGATTGGCTGGACGACCGTGGGTCACGTTGGAACGGATGTGAACTTGTATTGCAAGGGTCCGATGATCTTCGAACGCATGTGCAAGGGTGTGCACGAAAACGTTTACCTGAACAAGCTGATGACGACGTTCTTGGGTCTGGAACACCAGCAGGAGCTGGAGACGATGAAGCACCGCAACATTTCGGTGCTGGAGGACCCTCTTGCGTTTTGAGCTGGTCGAGGATCCCAATCAACAAAAGTAATGGTAGAGATCGTATCGAACTTTGATATCCAATCCGATTCTAATCGAAATACTTACAAGTTATAGTGCCGACTTGTGCCCACGCACCTGGGGATCTTGTTCCAGCTACAGAATTAATGTCAGTCTGTACTGCAGACTCTGCAGCTTCAATATGAAATGTCGACTAATTTAATGAAAAAGCGAACACTTCGGAATCTGATGCTGATGCTGAGGTGGACGCTCGTGCGAGCTAATTTCCCGCCCGGCTGCTCTGCAACGTAGCGCAGCATCTCTCAGCCTGAGACTCAGGGACTCACGCACACTGGATCGTCTAGCAATGGAAAGCCACTGCGCAGTGCACAATGTGCACTGCTGGTACGGTCCGAAAGTTCCCATCTATTTTTTGTAGTTACTATTTTTTGCTACGCTGTCTTCATGCAGTACAGACTAAGAGGATAGGCCTTCGTCACTACAACTCAGCGCCAAGGACTCAGCAAAAGTGCTGCTGCAACATTACGCTCCATGCTGCCTTCCCTCGTGCTGCCCATCTGCTAGGTCAGCATTGCTCAGCAAGCACTGCACAACGCATTCAGCCTGACATTCAGGACTCCAACGTCCCACAAGACCTCACGTCGAGAATCTTTGCGCTCGCAGTGTGATTCACATGTCAAGCACACTGATAGAGCAGCGAGATCGCAATGCATTTGGGTGGTCGGGGATTATCGCAACGGAGCCCGTGGCCTCTCTTTGCCACGGATAGGCGATTCAACAGAAGGGATTAAATTAATCCGAGCGCTTCAACCAAGATTCACTGCAACTCTCGACAGGAATCTACTCGGTCAAGATGAGCGGCGGTGCAACAGAAAAAAACATCATCGAACTTCCCTCTACGAGCGCACGAATGCTTCAATGACGAAGTGCTCCGTACCTGTATCATTCAGGGCTTTCCACGGAGACCCGGGGCAAGTATACGTAAAGTTTTCAGTGCCATCACTTCACCATTCTGCCTTTTGCTCGGTCCTGCACAGTCCCCAAACTCTCCGCAATGGCCAATCTCAGTCGCGTGCTGGCTCTGTGTGCCGCTGCTGTCACGCTCGCAAGTGCTGCTACCCACTACGAGTACAAGACGATCGATGTGGACTACAACTTCGATGAGAACGAAGACTCTCCACGCAGCGTCATCATGATGATCCCGGACGGCACGGGTCCTAACATCTTCACGCTCGCACGCACAGTGCTCGACCCTACTCTCGAGACTCGTCTACACATTGACCCTCACCTTATGGGAACGGTGCAAACACACTCGTCTACCAGCTATATCACGGACTCCGCGTCGTCTGCGACGGCCTACTCGACGGGTTACAAGACGTACGACTCGGCTATCGCTGTTGATACGTACGAACAGCCTTTGGGTACGGTCCTGGAGGCTGCCAAGGCTCGTGGCATGGTGACTGGTATGATCGTAACCTGCCGTGTAACCCACGCAACACCGGCATCATTTGCTGCGCACGTACTCGACCGGGACTC